GCGGCAGATGCTTAACGCAGGAGCTGCCCCCTGGTGGTCAGTGCACTCCCACAACAGGAGAAGCTGGACGCACAGCTGGGGCTCCTCCCTCACAGCAGGGGATTGAGTCGAAACTGGCAGTTGGACATCCCCCAAGAGGTCCCGGATTGCCAGGGGGCACAGGTCAGGCTGAGGGACCCCACCAGTGCACAGGTCCGGGCACCGGGCCTCTAGTTGTTACATAGTCACAACTTATTTTCAGAAAGAAGGGAAGATACCATATACATCTAACAAGAATAAGTCCCTGCCAAGGAGAGTAAAAGAAAGGTGAGGAGATGAGAACATTTTTTACTTGATTAATTCATCACAGCTTAAGCTAAATTCTCTTAGCACATAATTTATTTCCACTCAATTAAGAATTTTGGTGAGAATTACAAACTTTTTTGGCTTTCAGAGCACAATTTAGACAGTGTTTTCCAAACTTTACTTCCACAGTAAAATGTATTTTCCAAGATGATTGAGCATATAAATACAAATATACATCTTTATGTTATATATAAATATATTTATAAAATAATCCATGTTACTATATACTGTGTACGTTCATATTTTCTGTATTATATTTTATCTTCTTTTTATTACTATTTCCCTACCTACTTCCCTTTGATAATTATCAGCTTATTCTCTATATCTATCGGTCTGTTTCTATTATATTTTGCTTATTCATTTATTAGTTTTTTTAGACTCCACATATAAGTGAGATAATATGGTATTTGTCTTCATCTGACTTATTTCACTTAGCATAATCCCTCTAGGTCAGTGGTTGGCAAACTGCGGCTAGCGAGCCACATGCGGCTCTTTGGCCCCTTGAGTGTGGCTCTTCCACAAAATACCACGTGAGGGCGCACACATACAGTGTGATTGAAACTTCGTGGCCTATGTGCAGAAGTCGGTATTTTGTAGAAGAGCCACACTCAAGGGGCCAAAGAGCCTCATGTGGCTTGAGAGCCGTAGTTTGCCAACCACTGCTCTAGGTCCATTCATGGTTTTGCAAATGGCAAGATTTAATTTTTTTAATGCTGCATTGTACCATTTTCTTTATCCATTCATCTATTCATCAACAATGGACACCTATGTTGCTTCCATATCTTGGCTATTACTATTAATGCTACAATAAACATAGGGGTGCATAATCTTTTTGAGTTAGTGTTTTTGTTTTCTTCAGATAAATGCCCAGAAGTGAAATTGCTGGGTCATATGGCAACTCTGTTTTTAATTTTTTGAGGGCTCTCTCTACAGTTTTCCATAGTGGTTGCACTAATTTACAGTTCCACCTACAGTGTACAAGGGTTCCCTTTTCTCATATCCTCACCAGCATTTGTTATTTGTTGATTTTTTAAAATATATTTTATTGATTTTTTACAGAGAGGAAGGGAGAGGGATAGAGAGTTAGAAACATCGATGAGAGAGAAACATTGATCAGCTGCCTCCTGCACACCTCCCACTGGGGATGTGCCCGCAACTAAGGTACATGCCCTTGTCCGGAATCAAACCTGGGACCTTTCAGTCCGCAGGCCGATGCTCTATCCACTGAGCCAAATCAGTTAGGGCTATTTGTTGATTTTTTGATGATAGCCATACTGATAAGTGAGAAATGATACACCAATTGTGGTTTTTATTACATTTCCCTGCTGATTAGTGATGCTGAATATCTTTTCATGTATCTGTTTGCCTTCTGTATGTCTTCTTGAGAGAAATGTCTATTCAGGTATTCTGCCTGTTTTTTAATTGGATTGTCTGCTTGTTTTTGATGTTGTATGAGTTATTTATATATTCTGGATATTAGCCCTGTATCAGTGTATCATTTGTGAATGTTTTCTCCCATTCAGTAGGTTATCTTGTTTTCTTGATGGTTTCCTTCACTGTGCAAAAATTTTTTCAGTTTGATATAGTCCCATTTGTTTTGTTTCCATTGCTTGAGGAAATATATTAAAAAAGATTTTGGTAAGAGTGATGTCAAAGAATTTACCGCCTATGTTTTCTTCTAGAAGTTTTATAGTTTCAGGTTTAACACTTAAGTCTTTAACTCATTTTGAGTTTATTTTTTATGTGATGTAAAGTTTGCTAACACCACTTATTAAAGAGACTGTCTTTATTCAATTGCTATCCTTGTCTTTTTTATCCTACATTCATTGACTATATAAGTGAGGACTATTTCTGGGATCTCTATTCCATTGATCTATATATCTGTTTTTTAGGCTAGTACCCTACTGTTTTGATTATTGTACATTTGTAGTATAGTTTGATATCAGGGAGCATAATATTTCCTACTTTGTTCTTTCTCGGGATTTGTTTGGGGTCTTTTGTGATTCCATGTAAATGTTAGGTTTAGCTCTAATTTTGAAAAGTTTGTCAATGGTATTTAATCGAGATTGCATTGAATCTATGTATTATTTTAGGTAATGATATACCCTTCCAGTTATTTCCAGTTATATTGTTCAATATCTTTCTTCAATGTCTTTTAGCTTTCAGAGTACAGGTCTTTCACCTCTTTGGTTAATTTCTTCTTCGGATCATTTGTTATTAGTGTATAAAAACGCAACAGATTTTTGTATATTGATTCTGTATCCTGCAGCTTTACTGAAGTCATTTATTAGTTGCATAATAGTTTTTTGGTAGAATCTTTAGGGTTTTCTAAATGTAGAATCATGTTATCTACAAATAATGACAATTTTACCTCTTTTTTCCTATTTGGATGCCTTTTATTTCTTTGTCTTGTCTGATTGATGTGGCTAGAACTTCCAATAATCTATTGACTAAAAGTAGTGAAAGTGGACATCCTTGTCTTGTTTCCTGATATGTTAAAAATCTATGTTGATTTCACAAACTCCTAATGGATCATAAAAAGCAGTGTGAAAGATTGAAGCTAATAAATGATCCTTGATCATTTTTCATTCACTAAACAGCTCATATTTTTTGCAAGGCAGTGTTTTAAGTGTTGCAGTGTACAGAGTTAAACATAAAACCTGCCCTTATAGGAAATTATGTGTGCTTATTTCACCTTAAAGTCCACTTAAAGTAGAGTAAATATATATACACCTGTGAATTTTTTAAATTAACTTTCTGTGCTGCCTGGCTTCTACTTTGGTATTGATTATTGTTAGATACTGTAGAAATTTTCTGTAACTTGACCTTTTTTTTACTTATTTACATGTTCATAATCATGTTATAATCTATTTGAGATAATATAATTGTTTCTATTCAGTGCCTCACAAAGAAGCAAGAACAAACTAATTTTTTAAAGAAATTGAAATTTGGTGGTGGTGCTTGGGAGAAAGCATCTGAGCAATGTAAATAAGTAAAAGTCATTAAATGCTCTATCATATTTAACAGAAATAAACTACTAATAAAAGCAACTACCTGGATGAAGCTCAGTAAAATAATGCTAAGTAGAAAATAAAACACACATTTTATGATTTCATTTAGATGAAATTTCAGAAGAGGCAAAATTATACATATAGAAGCAGAATAGTGGTTACCTGCAACTGACCAAGAGAGCAGAGATGAACTGTAAATGGTCACAAAGGAACTTTCTGATGTGATGTAAGTGTTCTAGTACTAGATTATACTGGTAGTTGCACAACTGTATAAACTTACTAAAACTCATTGTTTGAACTGTATACTTAATATGTGTAAATTTTATGATACATAAAGCTACTTCAATATAGCTGTCATAAACAAAAATTATATAATGCAGTATTTTGTTCTTTTACTGCCTAGTTAATTATCTGCAAGAAACTTTCTGAAAAGCTGAGAGAATTTCCACTGCTGGCCTCGTGGTACCAGAGGATTCAGGAGGTGCCAAGAGTGAAAACAGCCGCTTCTCAGTGTGGGATCCAGTTTTGCCATTTACCAGAGTTGCTGACCACATCAAATGAGCAGCATCCAAACTTAAATGAAGCCCCAGGTGCAGAGGAACAAAACGATCCTTCATTTATAGGAGGCCCAAGGCCCACGATGACCAAGTTAATGGTACTTAAATTGTTTTCATTAAAATTTTCTTTAAAAAATTGCATGTGATAATGTTACCCTGACTTGTAATTGTTTGTTGACATTATTTGTTATAAATCTTATTTGTAGCTATCCTATATCACTCTTGAACAGTTAATATTTCTAGTAGCCTTTTGCATTGAAGTGAGTTATAGTAAATTGAAGGATTTTTTTTTAATTGAAGTATTTTAATATTATATGTCTTTGGAGCCAAATAAGTCAGCATATGTGTTTTTAAACAGTATTTTTCTCAAAACTTTTTTTTTTTATAGTCAAGACAGCAAGATCATATCACACCTATCAAATTTATTGTTTTACCTGGTATTTTTTTTAATTTTTTTTTATTTTATTATTTATTACGAAGTATATATGATATGTGTCCATTTTTTCCCCCCGCCCAAGCCAGTACCCTAGCCTCTCCCACCCCCCAGTGTCTTATGTCCATTGGTTATACTTATATGCATGCATACAAGTCCTTTGGTTGATCTCTTGCCCTCCTTCCTCCCGCCCCCGACCCCTCCCCGGCCTTCCCGATCCATTCATCTACTGATGGGCACTTAGGCTGTTTCCAGATCTTAGCTAGGGTGAATTGTGCTGCTATGAACATAGGGGTGCATATATCCTTTCTGATTGGTGTTTCTGGTTTCTTGGGATATATTCCTAGAAGTGGGATCACAGGGTCAAATGGGAGTTCCATTTGTAGCTTTTTGAGGAAACTATTGTTTTACCTGGTATTTTTTGTTGCAAGGATTTGATTTCAAGTTTTTTTTTTAAATTTTGAGATGATGATTTAAATTAAAGAAATATGAAGATGAATATCTCAACTTTCTAACATTTTTTAATTTAAGAATTTTAAATTCTTTGAAGTTTGTTTTTATCTTATTCTTTTTACAGTGCTAGTTTATTTAATAACACATGATTTATAGTTTTTTATCTTTGCAGCCTAATTTGTTTCTAGTTCATAGTAATTGTAAAAGTTTTCACCAATAGGCTTTCTTTCTCTATCATTCAAGACAATCTACAATAATGTTTTGCTTTTAACTTAGACTATTTGAAGATTTATTTGAATAGAGAATTCATGAAGTAATTTGAGCTATTCATCTGAGTTGTACTGAAAAAATATTCTTATATTTTTTTACTTGGGTTAGGAATCATTTGTGTTCTATAGTTAACACACATTTGGGGATTTAAAAAAGCGTGAGAAGATTTTAGTAATAACACCAGTCCCTTATTTTTTCAGTTTAGCTTGTTAGCCTAGTGATGAAACAATGAAACAGGATTATAAAGTTGATTTTAGAAGCTTTCAAGGCATGTCCAAACTTTGATGTGCCTTGATCAAATGGTTAAGCTGTTCACCTTCTGAATGTTCTTAAATAAATAATAATTAGTAGAGTAATCTGCTCTGTATTAAAATACTAAGTTTTAGTATTTTTAAGATTTATCAACCAAAAATTTGGGCTTTTAATTCATACATGTGCAGTCTTGAAAGAAAGATTAGTAATTCTGATTTTTCTACCTATGCTTTTCCAGAAATAAAATGACATTAGGCAAGACTTCTGCATTTTATACATTTAAAAATATTTTAAATATTATAAAAAAACTAAAATTTAAATTCAGAACAAGTTAATAAACAATTATAAAAATAAATTCTTTTGTAATGATATAAAAATATGAAGGGATATTGAATTTTTAATTTACTGGGTTTTTTTTAGTTCAGGTCCTCCAAGAGGGGTTCAACTGAAAGGTAAGATTAGATATGCAAGAGGCCTAGTGAGGAAAAGTCTGTGAGAGAAAGTGGGGAGGGAGCCCGGAGAGGCTGGCAGAGCCTTCCTTAATGATGCAGGTTTGACTGCTGTACATGAGATCAGACAGGAAGGAAAGTTGAGTCTGAAAATTTACACTTAAGTGCAATTCTAAGAAAGTTTTGGCAAGCCAGTGGGGAATCCTTAAACCTGGACTATCTGTCAGGTAGTTTCTCAGGAATGGATCTGCCCTAGTATCCCTACCACTTTTAGTCATTGACTTAGGAGCGAAGATTAGACTAGGGATCAGTGACTTGGATTCTAGTCTCTGTTTTGCAGCTAAGCTGACATTGTGACCTTCAGTAAGTCATTTTACTAAAAGATATAAATTCCTGCATTTATAAATTAGGAGAGTATAGTAGACATTCTGTATGATTCATTTTTTATTTTAAATCTTATGGTTGTAAAAAATTAACTGGGACATTACACTTATAATTTTAAAAAGAATGTTCAAATCTGAAAATAAGTTAAAATTTTCATTTTCATTTAGTTCAAACTTGATTGTAGATACAATAAGATTTCTTTTTTTCAACAGGGGGTGGTTTTTGCTACTTACTAGTGGATTCCTCTATTGACACGTATTTCTGGAAGGCAGTAAATATTATATCAAATTAATATGTTATGAAATTATATTGATTTTAATTATACAGTAACTTTTCATTTTTGTATAGTCATAGCATTTTGTGCCAATTACACAAGGACCCATTAAATTGGTGCTAATGCAAGTATAAGACAGTAAAGTATTTCTTAAGAACACTCACATCTCACTTTTTTCCCCCTTCCATATTCTTTGGCATACTCTTACCTCCACAATTTTCCAGAAGTTTGAAATGTACTTATTTATTTATTCAGTCCAAAAAATATATATGTGTCTACTAAATATCAGGCAGTGGTCTGAATATTGGATACATAAAGAACAAATTGACTGTTACATGGTGCTTACATTCTGGTGGTGGAAATAAATAAAGAAAAAACATGTTAGGCAATAAGTGCTGTAAAAAAATAATGTGGGATAAGAGAGTGGAGGTGATCAGGGTAGGAGTCCTATTTAGGTAGGATGGTCAAAAAGACTTATCTGATTAGGTGAAGACATTGAGCAAATAACCTGCATGAATTGAAGATTTGGAGAAAGTGTTCTAGGCAGAGGATTCCACTCAAAAAAGACCCTGAGAAAATCCGTGCAGGCAAAGTAGATTAGTGGTTGCTTAAGGCAGAAGCTGAGGGGGAAGGATGGAGAGTGTCTGCTAATGGGTGTGGGGCTGCTTTATGAGGTGATGAAAATGTTCTGAAAATAGATGGTGATGATGGTTGCCCAACTGAATATTCTAAAAACCATTGAATTGTGTGCTTTAAAAAGGTAAATTTTATGACATATAAATTATATGTCAATATAGCTATATTCTTAAAATACTCCAAAATAATGAATGAAGGACAGCAAGAAGTCCAATATGGCTAGACTAGAATAAGGAAGATAGGAGAGAGGTAAAGTGATTACTCTCAATCTCTAGACCTATATAGCTATATCTCTACCGTAAGCAAAAAAAATCTTTATGTTATTTCCTTTGAGATAAGACTTTAGCTAGTTTTCATAATGGAAAGTTATCTCATGAACTAATTGATATAAAAGGGTTCATGATAGATTCTTGGGGATTTTTCTTTTGAATAGAATATTACTGGGGGGAAAAAATACATGAATCATGGATATTCTGTGGGCTGTGGACCCAGAATTTGATTGGTAGGAGTCAGGGCATCCATGCATAAGCCATGCCACTGTCTCTTCTTTTTTTTTTTTTTTAAAAAAAAAGAACATGTTTCATTGATTTTTTACAGAGAGGAGGGGAGAGGGATAGAGCATTGGAAACATCAATGAGAGAGAAACATTGATCAGCTGCCTCCTGCACATTCCTTACTGGGGATGTACCTGCAACCGAGGTACATGCTCTTGACCGGAATCCTATCTGGGACCCTTCAGTCCGCAGGCCGACACTATCCACTGAGCCAAACTGGTTAGGGCCATGCCACTGTCTCTTGATCAAATAAAGACACGTACAACTTTTAACATGGGAAAGAAGTCTGAGATATTTTTGATATATTGAAGAAGTTGGGAACTGCTTGGTTAAACCAGAGGAATTCTTTTCTAGAGACATTGCTGACATGTGTAAAAGACTGGTATAGATGATATTTTAGAGGCATATGTTGAAGTAAAGCTTTTTAGTCCTGTTAAATAGAGCTCCTAGGTTGTGGCAGTTTTCTATAAACACAGATATTCATGGATATAAGCAGAATCGTGTGTTTTTTTTATCATCTCTGTGTGGGTTGTTTTCGATAAAATTTTATCCTCAGGTGACTTTTCTCTTAGACACACAATATATTTCTAGGTAGCTCATTACTTCTATATATTTTCAGGTAATAATTTTTAAATATCATTACTTTTTATTATCTCAGTGTAAAAAAAAAAAAGGAAAGTAATTGCTGTAAAAAAACTGTTGTATTTCTTATGTAACCAAATATCTTGAGGAAAACCCGGTCATTGTTGATGTTTATGTTCTTCCTTGCTAGTATAGAAAATAGAAATTTGGCCTTGTAGTACATGGTAGGACTTTAATTAATTCATTATTTGGTAAGGGCCTATTTCCTTTTCTAGGAAAAAGGCATTGAAGTGATGTTTTCTCCTCACCCTTGTCCTACTTGGACCATTGATTGGAGTAGTCTTCCTGCAGCAGTGAGCCCAAAGGAAGGTGAGATTGTTTTTTTCTCTCCTTTAAATCTTACTCATAATCTGGATAGTTCATATCTACCTTCTAATTTTATAATCCTCTTTTTGGCTATATCTAAAATTCTGACTATTCTATCTTCATTAAGTTTTTATTTTATTATAAAATTTTTACATGTACAGTGGGGCCTTGACTTACGAGTGTCTCGACTAACGAGTTTTTCGAGATACGAGCCATCTCTCAGCCAATTTTTTGCTTTGAGTTGCCAGCTAAAATTCGGGTTACAAGCCAGCTTCAGATACCCCGCCACAACATCAGCCCAGCATCACGTGTCTCACTCGTTCACTTTATGATTTGACATACAAGTAATTTGAGTTATGAGATCCATCACGGAACGAATTACACTTGTAAGTCAAGACCCCACTGTATAAATTACTCAGATTTAATATTTCCCACATTTTTCTAACATTTGCTTCATGTATTCCTTTTTTGCTTTGCTAAAGCATTTTGAAGCAAATCCCAGGCATATGTCCTTGGATCAGGATTACAGTACAGACAGCTAAAAAATTTTTACATCTTAAATAATCATTATGACACATAATAAAAATTAACAAAAATTCCTTGATTATCTAATAATTAGTCCATAATTATTTCCCCTAATTGTTAAAATGTTGTTTGTAAAAATATATATATTTATAATTAGGTTTTTAGTTAAATAAATTTTTCATTGCTAGAAATTATATTTGGTTTGTTTTCCTTGCTCATGTTTCAATTTCCTCTTTTTATAATTTTTTAAACATGGTTATTTTATAGTATATTTGTTATTTCTAATAGCTGATATCAATAGAGATATAATTCTATTTGTTATTTCTGTTGATTTACTCATGTTTTCTTATTTTCCTGTTAGTTTTGTAATTTTAGATTGTGAATTCATTTTTAGGTTACCTAAATCTGTTGGAATCTTGTGGGGCTTTGTGAAGTTCAGAGTAAATTCTCATAGAAGGGGTTTATAGTCGCTTTGCCAGGCATCTCAAGATATTTTAAGACCACTTAGCATTAATTTTTCAGCTTGAGATTCCTCAACATTTTCTATCAGGAGCTAAGGTTTAAAAAAACAAGTTACCTATCATTTTCCTTTGCTGTTGAGTGGACTTTTTTTTTAAATGCACCTTTTCATAGGGAATATAAGTTTTCAAGTTTCTCTTTTAATGTAGTGATACTAGTTCCAACTTGTCGCCATGCTGGATAGGGATCAAGGACTAGCCTCTCTTCTTTGTCTTACTGTGGAAGCTTAGATTCTTATTAGCAAACACCTTCGAGGCAGCTGTGGTATCAGTTCAAAATTATTGTACTGCTTTTTAGTTTCTTAACCCCTTTTAAAGCCCTTATGGATTTTTCTGACTCTCAGAAATCCAATTAGAAATGTAAAGGATGATTTTTGAATTTTAAATATCATTTTAGATATTTTTATGTGGGGAACTGTTTTATAACTCAGTGTGATATTTCTTTAATCGTTTATGTGCTCTTTGGTTTTATACTAAGCCAAATATAACTTGATTTTCAAATGCTCTCTGAAATCATGTGCCTTTCTTTTTCATATTCTCTTCTGTGATACTTCCTAATATTATCTGAATCTCACGGGTCAATTCTGTTTGTCAAGAAAATAATTTAGGATTCTTTCAGAATGGAAACAGATTTTATTGAGTAGTTAAAAACTCTGCATCAATATTATATTAAGATAAAATTCAGGCCCTAGCCAATTTGGCTCAGTGGCTAGAGTGTTAGAATATGACTGAAGGGTCCCTGGTTCGATTCTGGTCAAGGGCATATACCTTAGTTGCAGGCGTGATCCCGGGCCCTGATCAGGGACCATGCGGGAGGCAACCAATTGCTGTCTCTCTCTCACATTGATATTTCTCTATCTGTCTCTCTCCCTCCTTTTCACTCTCTCTAAAAATCAATGGGAAAATATCCTTGGATCAGGATTAATAAAAAAATAAATAAAAATTCAATTTTGGTCTTTTATTAAGTATATAAAAATAGTAACTAATGACCTTGTTAATATTTTAATTATAACTATTTTTGAGATATAGAAATACTTGTTTGAAAACATTTGAAAAAGTTTAACAGTTTTTATTCTACTTGTAATTGGATTTTGTATACTCTTTGACTATAGTATAGATTTTGAACAAATTAAACCTAGAGTTTACTATAGCTTACTAAAATAAAAATCTAATTTTCATTAATATCTATCAAAAAATGAAAATAGAGTTTAGAAGTACCACATGTTTTGCTTATTCATAATTTACTATGAGGCCAAAATAACATTTTTAATTATTTATATGAGCAATCAATTACCAACTCAGAAGTCTGCATTAAGCATTCATGTCTGATTGTTTCACTGGTTAGAGTGCATATCTAATGAAGCTTCTGGAATTAATCACTCATTATATCCTTATAATGGATCACCTTGTTTACATAAATATTATGACAAAGATGAACTTACCACAGAAGAGATACATGGTCTACTCACATTTCATTTACTGTTTCTTAAAAAGTTTATAGCCTTGTTAAACTAAGCCAGAATTATAGCATTTTGTTTTTCTGTTTTCATGGTAATAGGATTTTTGTGAAATTAAATTTATTATTTACTTAGGCGTGTGGAGGTCACTGTGAAAGTCATGATTGTGTTCTAGTACTTTTTTTTTAAAGAAGAAATTGAATTGCAATAAGTTATTCTTAGTATTTGGTTCATTTGGATGTTGCAAAGACTGACTCCTTATACTGAATTCATTGAATTACATCAAGATTTTGAAACATATAAAAATCATTCTCTTTACTAACAAAGTCTGTATTGATACTCATCCTGGAGTCTAATATATTTCTTAAGCTTATCTAATCTTCTCTTCTCTGTTCTCACCCGTTCTCTCTCCACATCTTATGTACTATTCCCTAAACTCCAATGCTGTTTGGTTTTCGTTTTGTTTTGTTTTTTTCATTAAGTCTTCGGCATGGGCATGAAGTCAGCCTGTCTGAGTGTAAAACCTGGACTACTGACTAGCTACATAATCTATCTACCCAGATTCTCAACTTCTCTATGCCTCAATTGCTTCATCTGTAGAATGGGGATAATAGTGCCTATTTTATGAGATTGCTGGTATGATCAATGAATTAATGCAGGGCGGGGCAAGAGTAGGTTTATAATTGTGGGTATGTGAAATACAGACTTTAGTTTTATATTATTACTTATTAATTATTGCATTTTTTCCATATGAACAACTGTAAACCTACTTTTGCCCAACCCAGTATATAAAGCAATTAGTACAGTGCCTAGTAAAAAGTAAATGTTAAATAATATTAATGTAGTAGTCAGAATTAATCACTCTCTCTTAATATTCCTTTAGTACTCTCTTATACTTCATTTTGCTACTTATTGTATGCTACTCATACACTGTAATTACTTGTATGCATGTTTTCCTTCTCCAATAGACTGTGAACTCTTCGAATATAGGGTGTCTATGTATAAGTACTCAATACTTTTTTAAAAAAACATGTTTTTATTGATTTTTATTTTTTATATTTTTATAGAGAGAGGAAGGGAGAAGGATAGAGAGATGGAGACACCGATGAGAGACATGGATTGGCTCCTCCTATACACCCCCTACTGGGGACTGAGCCTGCAACCAGAGCATGTGCCCTCACTGGGAATCAAACTGGGGATGTCTTGGTTCATGGGTCAGTGCTCAACCACTGAGCCATACCTGCCGGGCCTCAGTACTTTTTTTTTTTTTTTGAATCCTCACCTGAGGATATTTTTCCATTGATTTTTAGAGAGAGTGAAAGAGAGAGGGAAAGACAGAGAGAAACATCAATGTGAGAGAAACACATCGATTAGTTGCCTCCTACATGCACCCTGACCAGGGCTCAGGCTGAGAAAGAACCTGCAACCAAGGTACGTGCCCTTGACTGGAATCGAGCCCAGGACTCTTCAGTTTGCAGGGTGATATTCTATCCACTGAATCAAACCAGGGCCTCAGTACTTTTTAATTAAATTGAATTGAGACTACAAACCATTTTTAAAAATCTTTAAAAATTTCTGTTTAAAACAAGCCTGCATCAGGAAGGCCGGGGAGGGAAAACAAGCAACTTGTCTCATATAGACTTAAAAGGCTAAAACAATTGAATTATTTAGTCTGAAGAAAGGAGACCTGAAGATTTAATATACATTATTATTATTATTAAATTTTTATAGACTCTTTGGGAATTGTAGACATCACACCTCTGGTTCTAAATATTTAAATTTCTCCTTTAAGAACAAGGATATTCTCTTACATAACCATATTACAATTATCAAAAGAGGACATTTAATTTAGTACTATTATCTAATCTACAGTAGCTTGTGATACATTTAATTGTCTTATCTTTTTAGTCTTCCTTAGTTGTTTCCTCCTGTTAGATTCAAGTGAGGCATTTTTGGCAGGAACACCACATGTGATGTCTGTCCCCCTCAGTGCAGATATCGGGAAGCACACTATCTCAGTTTAGGCCAGTGATGTTAACTTGAACCATTTGATCAAGGTGATGTCTGCCAGCTGTCTTTACTGTAATGCTACTATTTTCCTTTATTAAATTGGTAAGTAGTTTGTGGAGAGATATTTGAGACTACATAATACATTTTTATTTTTTCAAAATTTTACTCACTAGTTTACATTAATTTAATGCTTCTTGCCTGGATCTTCTCAGTGCAGTAGGAGACTGTTGGTTGAAGATTTTCTGTCAGTGCACATGACTAAAATATTCACTTAAACATTTCATGCTTCGTGTTTTATAATTTATCATATACAGAACCATCTGATCACAACTATCTGCGACTCTGTCCTTAAGAACTGTGACTCTATACCCTTAATTCAAAGATGAAAGTCACTGCAAACAATCTGGCATTCACCTTAATAGGTGTGTTTTTACACCTTAGTAGGTAAATACTGATATTGAATTTTAAAAAACCAAGACAAATTTTGTGGTGT